TTGGCAGTAGGTGGTATAGCGGTTCACCCCCTGAATGTTCCGCTGAACTTTCCTGTTGATATTGGCTGGTCAAGTGCTTGTCTATCTCTCATTTGGCACTAGGTAGTGTAGAGATTCATCCCTGAATGTTCCGCTGAACTTTCCTGTTGATATTGACTGTTCAAGTGCTTGTCTTCCTCTCATTTGGCACTAGGTAGTGTAGCGATTCACCCCTGAATGTTCCGCTGAACTTTCCTGTTGACATTGGCTGTTCAAGTGCTTGTATTTCTCTCATTTTGGCACTAGGTAGTGTAGTGATTCAGCCCCTGAATATTCCGTCGAACTTTCCTGGTGATATTGGGTGTTCGAGTGTTTGTCCTTCTCTCATTCGGCACTAGGTAGTGTAGCGATTCATCCCTGAGTGTTGTGATGTTCTTCCTTGGTGATTTGGGCTGTTAACACTTGTGTTTTCACTCATGCAGTAGGTAGTAGTTCTCCGATCCACCCATGAATGTTCCACGGTCCTTCCTTGGGGAATTGTGTTGTTCACACTTGTGTCTTCACTCATGCAGTAGGTAGTAGTGCTCCGATCCACCCATGAATGTTTCGCTGTTCTTCCTTGGGGAATTGGGCTGTTCACACTTCTGTTTTCACTCATGCAGTAGGTAGTAGTGGTCTGATTCACCCATGAATGTTCCACTGTTTTTCCCTGGTGATTTGGGTTGTTCGCACTTCTGTTTTTCACTCATGCAGTAGGTAGTAGTGGTCCGATTCAACCATGAATGTTCCGCTGTTCTTAATGGTGATTCGGGATGCTCACACTTGTGCTCTTCACTCGTGCAATAGGTAGTAGTGGTCCGATTCACCCATGAGTGTTCCGCTGCTCTTCCTTGGTGACTTGGGCTGTCCACACTTATGTTTTTGACTCATGCAGTAGGTAGTAGTGTTCCGGCTCATCCCTGAGTGTTATGGTGCTCTTCCTTGGTGATTTTGGACTATTCACACTTGTGTTTTCACTCATGCAGTAGGTAGTAGTGCTACGGCTCATCCCTGAGTGTTGTGGTGCTTTTCCTTGGTGATTTTGGATTGTTCACACTTGTGTTTTCACTCATGCAGTAGGTAGTAGTGCTCCGGCTCATCCCTGAGTGTTGTGGTGCTCTTCCTTGGTGATTTTGGACTGTTCACACTTATGTTTTCACTCATGCAGTAGTGTAGTTGTGCTCCGGTTCTCCTTTGTTGTTCAAAGTATGAACGTGTGTGTGTGTGTGTGTGCAGTTGGGTGTGTGCTGTGTTTCGGTCCCCACTACCGCTGTGCAGTCCCTCCCCTGTGGTCTGCATATGTGTGTATGTGTATGGGTGTGTGTGTGTGTGTGTGTGCAGCTGGGTGTGTGCTGTATTTCGGCCCCCACTACCGCCGTGCAGTCCGCCCCCCCGTGATCTACACATGTGTGTATGTGTGTATGTGTGTATGTGTGTGTGTGTGTGTGTGTGCAGTTGGGTGTGTGCTATGTTTCGGTCCCCACTACCGCTGTGCAGTCCCTCCCTTGTGGTCTGCATATGTATGTATTTGTATGGGTGTGTGTATGTGTGTGTGCAATTGGGTGTGTGCTGTATTTCGGCCCCCACTACCGCCGTGCAGTCCACCCCGTGATCGGCACGTGTGCATGTGTGTATGTGTGTGTGTGTGTGTGTGTGTGTGCAGTTGGGTGTGTGCTGTGTTTCGGCCCCCACTACCCTCTGTGCAGCCCCCCCGTGATCTGCAAATGTGTGTATATGTGTGTGTGTGTGTGTGTGTGTGTGTGTGTGTGTGTGTGTATGTATGTGTATAGGGGGTGTACTGTGGATCTGTATCCCTGGCTAAACTCTGTATTGCTCTGCAAAACCTGTGAGTTCTGCAAAATCTGCAATTGCCTGAGAAATCTGTGTCGTCCGCGAATTTGTAATTTCTGCAAACTCGGTGATTTTTGTAACCTTTTGCAAAAGCACGAGACTGTGACTTTGGTGTGACTACGGTAGGATTAGTGCAACGGAATTAGGCTTTGTAGATAGATGGGCCCCGGGTATTTAGAATGACGGGGCGCCACCATAGCCAACCACCTTGCACCTCCTTCCTCCACCATTCCCTACACCCATCCACCATAGCCAACCACCTTGCACCTCCTTCCTCCACCATTCCCTACACCCATCCACCAATAGCCGACCACCTTGCACCTTCTTCCTCCACCATCTCCTACACCCGTCCACCATAGCCGACCACCTTGCACCTTCTTCCTCCACCATCTCCTTCATCCATCCACCATAGCCAAGCGCCTTCCACCTTCTTCCTCCCCCATCTCCTTCACCCGTCCGCCATAGCCACGCACCTTCCACCTTCTTCCTCCATTTCCCTCATCCATCCACCATAGCCAAGCACCTTCCACCTTCTTCCTCCTCCATCTCCTCCACCCATCCACCATAGCCAAGCACCCCCCTACCTTCTTCCTCCATCTCCTTCATCCCTCCCCCGTAGCCAAGCACCTTCCACCTTCTTCCTCCTCCGTCTCGTTCACCCATCCACCATAGCCACGCACCTTCCACCTTCTTCCTCCTCCATCCCCCACACCCATCCACCATAGCCAAGCACCTCCTACCTTCTTCCTCCTCCATCTCCCTCATCCATCCACCATAGCCAAGCACCTCCCACATTCTTCCTCCTCCATCTCCTCCACCCATCATCCATCGTAGCCAAGCACCCCCCTACCTTCTTCCTCCTCCGTCTCCTTCATCCATCCACCGTAGCCAAGCACCTYCCACCTTCTTCCTCCTCCGTCTCCTTCACCCGTCCGCCATAGCCACGCACCTTCCACCCTCTTCCTCTTCCATCTCCCTCATCCGTCCACCATAGCCAAGCACCTTCTACCTTCTCCCTCCTCCATCTCCCACACTCGTCCACCATAGCCAAGCACCTTCTACCTTCTTCCTCCTCCGTCTCCCACACCCTTCCACCATAGTCGAGCACCTCCTACCTTCTCCCTCCCTCCGCCATCTCCCACACCCGTCCACCATAGCCAAGCACCTTCTGCAAGGAAAACAAGTAACAACGAGATGACAATTCCAGATCACACCATCACATTGAAAGCCAAATAGTCACACTGTGTCCAGAGAGCAGCATTGCACCAATAATACACCAATGGAGGTTCGTAGCACTGAAAACCAATGTTCATGGAGAGCATACTCTCTCCTCCCAACACAAGAGTCCAGTTCCTTCACACTCACACTTGGCGCTCAGCGCCCAGCCTACTCCTATACAGCTTACTACAGACTACAATAAGACAATGCAACTGTTGACATCAGCGGCAGCCCGAAGTACTTGAAGATGTTGCCCACGCAGACCACCGCCAATACAAGGTAAGTGCCCTCACATCATCATCATCATCATCATCCTCCTTCACCTATCCCCTGACTACTCCCACACCTGTCCTCTCTTTCACTTTAAGACCACCCCTGCGCTTCACTGTAGTCCAAGCCCACCAGCTATGGTGGCTGGGCTATGGCGCTGCCCTCAACAACGCCCTCCTCCTCTGCACGACCGCACGTGCTGCACCTCGCCTCTCAGCGCCAGCCAGCAGCCGCGAGCCTTTGCTCCAGCAGCGCTGCCGCTAGCATGCGAGTGCATGAATGAGGCTGCCTGGCCAGAGCTCTTTCCTTTATGGAAAAGAGCTGGCCAGCTCTCGCAGCCTGGCTGGGCTGGCTTGGGCCCAGAAGCTTCCGGAAGGCCCCAGGAGGCTGCCTCGATGCAACAGCTACTGGGCTGCTGGGCCTCCTTTGGTTGGGCGCCCAACTGTCTCTGTATGAGGCTGCGAATCACGCCCAGGGCCTGCATTCTTTGGAAAGGCCCGGTAGGCCGTGGAAATGTCTTCAGTGCTCGGCCTGTGTTTCTTTCAACCAACTGGCGCGTCGCAACTGTCTGGACCCCAAATATGAAATTGACAGTCGAAGGCCTCTTGCAAAAAGCCAGGTCCGCCTTCACTTAGGGCGGGCACCTCCGCCTTCACTTAGGGCGGGCACCTCCGCCTTCACTTAGGGTGCGTAAGGCTGCAAACAGGGCCCCATAGGCCTACCGAGGACCCTGATCCTCACATTCCCTCCTCCTTTACTTCGTGAGTCCTCTGAGAAGTCTCTTATTCTGCAGGCATCTTCCCCTTGAGTGCTCTTTCATAGCCTGCGATTACTTGAGGTGTTGTTCTCATGAGTTCTTCTCGTGTGAACCACCGGTCTTCTTTAGGATCCAGATGATGTCTGCAGCTCACACGATATTGCATTCTCGGTTTAGGAGGTCGCCCTCTGCCTGATGGTCGAGGAACAGGCATCACTCGATGCTCGACGATCTGGTCAATGTCCACTTCGCCATCCATGGTTGGGGGCAGCATTGATCTTCTGGAAGGGAACTGCTCAGTAGCAGCAAAGGGTGCTAACTTAGAGCCATGGAACACAGCGTAGGTACGCAAGTGAGGTGGGATGCGGATTACATATGAAGGACCGTCTGGTTGATCTCCTACAATGTCTAAGATCTCCCAGGGCCCAAAGAACTGTGGCATTAGCTTGCGGGATATGCCTAACTCCTGACCAAGCTCAGCAACCTTAATCCAGACTCTCTCGCCTACCTGAAAGTTAGAGGGCCGTCTATGTCTATTCTCAGATGCAATCATTGCCTCTTGAGATTTCCTAATGTGTTCAACGGCCTGCTGCAGAATCTATTCGTACTTGACAACAAATTCTATGCTGCCGGGTGCTGCAGTGGGTTCTCTTTCTGGTAGCAGAAAGTCAAGGGCAGTTCGGGGCTTCAAACCAAGATGCAGTTGGTTGGGAGTCATGCCGGTAGTACTATGCACAACATTGTTGTACAGGCTGGCAACGAGAGGTAGTTTCTCGTCCCAATCGTCCTGACTTGGCTTGATATAGTGCCTAAGTAATTGCTGTACCACTCAGTTCATTTGTTCCACTTGACCATTTGACTCAGGATGATTTCCTGACGTCATTTGGAGTTTTGTGCCCATTTGTTCAGCAATAGATTGCCAGAGTTCGCTCGTGAATCTGACATCCCTATCACTAACAATAGATGTCGGCAAACCAAAATCCCTTACCCAGTTATCCATGAAGAGTTTGATGACAAAGTCAGTTTTAGCAGTTTCAGGCATAGCGATCAGTCTGGCGTACTTGGTAAAACGGTCCACTATGACAAAGATGTGTCTCTTTCCTGACCTGTTTGTCACAAGGGTATCCATGAAATCCATGGACACACTCTGGCCTGGTCCTTCAGGGATTGGCAAGGGTTTGATCAACCCAAGCGGAGCCTGAGTCCTTGGTTTGTCCCTTTGACAAACCTGGCAGGTTTCAACATAACGTTTTGCATCTTCCAACATAGAAGGCCACCAAAATCTCTGCACTAAGTTCGCTGATGTCTTTCTATAGCCAAAATGACCAGTCGCATCATGACATTCTCCTAAAAATAGACTTCGCAAAGACTCACTATTAGCTACACATAGTCTTTTATACCTTGCCTTCTCAAGGAACAGCAAGCCATCAACCATCGTAAATTCATCCAAAGTTTTTTTGTCCTTTGCTTGGAATCTACGAATGATTTCTGACATGACGGGGTCTCCCTAATAGGCTTCCACCAGCGATTGAGTGAGTTCGTCAGATATGCCAAACTCAGTGACTAGCGCGCCCAGCTAATCTGCCCTTCTTGATAGCGCATCAACCACCTTGTTGTACGTACCCTTGATAGGATCAAGTTGATAGTCATACATGTCTATCACTTGAATCCGTCCGACAACACAGGTTGTGTCTTAATCCAGCGCAAAGTCTCTGGTCAGACCTCACATAGAAGAATTTTCCTAGGAGGTAATGTCTCCAATGAACTAGCGCTCTATATAGGGCATAGAGCTCTCTCTCATAAGTGGACTTAGCTAACTTTTGAGAAGGCATCTTTTTACTCCTGTACTCCATCGGTCTCAACTTGGGCCCTTCCTGTTGCGCAAGGACCGCGCCTATGCCATATTGGCTAGCGTCTGTGGTCACGACGAATAGCTTGTCAGGATCCGGAAGTTTGAGAACTTCGTAGTGTGTCAGAGCATACTTCAATTTCTTGAAGCTTGCCTCACACTCTTCAGTCCACTCCCAAGGGGTGTCAAGTCGAGTTAGATCTGTTAATGGGGAAGCTATAGTACTATAGTTTTTCACAAACGGACGATAATAGCCCGTCATCCCCAAAAACGATCTGACCTCAGTAACAGTCTGAGGTCGGGGCCAGTCACGTATGCTGGCCACCTTCGCATCTTCCGACCTCAATCCATCTGCTGAAATTTCATGACCCAAGTACAAGATCTTGGTGCGACCAAACTCGCATTTATCCAAGTTTACCTTGTACTGGTGCTGTCTTAGGAGACCTAGCACTGTTTTCAAGTGCTCAGCGTGCTCCTCCACAATCCTACTAAAGATAAGAATATCGTCGAGGTACACGACGATAAACTTGTCCAAGTACTCGTGAAATATCCGGTTCATCGCGTGCTGAAATGTACCAGGCGCATTGCATAGGCCAAAAGGCATCACCACAAACTCGTACAGACCGTACCTGGTCTGAAATGCGGTTTTGTGTTGGTCCTCGGGTCTAACGGCAATTTGATGGTATCCTAACTTTAGATCTATCTTTGTGAAGTACCAGCATCCCTGCACTCTATCCAAGAGGTCGTCAATGCGGGGTAGGGGCTCCGCGTTCTTAACGGTGATGGCATTGAGGCCCCTATAGTCAATGCACATCCTTAATGGACCTCCCTTCTTAGGAACAAATAAGACTGCCGCACCGTAAGGGGAGGTACTAGGCTGTATCCATCCCTTCTCTGTGAGCTCCTTTAGCTGGCGGCAAAGCTCATCTAACTCCGCAGAAGACATCCTATAGATTCGTCCTCTAGGCACCTTACTACCCGGGACAACCTCTATTGCATGGACAACCTCCATTTCCACCACGCCTGTGGGCTCCTCAAAAAGGTCGGAATATTGTGAGGCGACTTTTTTTATCTCTGGGGGTGATTTAACGACCTCCCCTTTCTTAGAGACAAAGTCTAGGAACATGCCCTCCTCCTGATTTTGCTTGTAATAGTTATAGAAGGATGAAGCACACATATACCCGTACTTCTCTATTAGACTGCTAGCTTTAAACTTCTACAATCTGACAGTTCTACCATTGGGCAGTTTGTGAATCAACACCTTTCTATCCCAATCAAACTGCGGTTGCGAGACTTCGAGGTAGTACATGCCTAGTAGCATATCAAATGGCAGTTCGTCGCTCACCAGGAAGGAGATCTTGTGGATCACTTCCCCTCCTCCATAGGAGAAAGAACAGGCCACGTCCTTGACATAGTCCTTTACAACCATTTGGTGCTTGTTGGCTAGCGTAGAAGCTACAGTTCTGCTAAGCCGCTGCAATTGGTCCCCTAAGCGTAGTCTATCCACACGAGCACGACTGATGAAATTTCGTGTAGAGCCTATGTCTGCGAAGGCGCCAACCTTGCGGCCACCTACATCTACTTCTACCACGAAATGTTCACCCTTTGGACCTCTACTTATCATCACCCAAGAGTCCCTAGGGTCCTTCCCTGACCACTCAGTCTCTAACTCTTCTAGGGCCTCAGACACATCTCTCGAACAGAGCGTCGGTGGGTCTGAATCTGTCTGCGGGGCGATGCGTGGGTCACTAGCCTTGGCCAACGCCTGAAGTGGGGAAGGCAACGTTACCACTTCAGCGCGAGTAAGAGCGGCTAACACTCCTATTGGCCCAAGGTGTTTCTCTATGAGCTGCTCGCAGAAGCACTCCCAGAGTTCGAAGATAAGCCCACCACCGTTGGCGAGGCTACCTTCGTGGTGACCTTTTTGCCGCGGCAAGTCCCGGACGTGTGGCCATAGTTGCCACAGTTCATGCATGTGCCCCTCGCAACTCGGTCCCTCCACACCTCGTAATCTAAACCAATCTTCACCCATGCGGGTGTTCCTTGGTCGCCCTGACCCGTGGACCGTCCTACCTTCTTCTTCCCAGTCCCCCTAGCCTTTTCCTTGATGGGTGCTACGACTCCACCATCTGAAGTCTCACTAGTCCCATCCTGCTCTGTGAACTCCCCAAGATCTGGGAAATCGTCAATCTCCGTTGTTTGACCATCGTGGTCGACGAACATTAACTGACCCTTCTTCTTCCAGTCTTGGGGCACCCTCTTCCTACCATCATTGGATACCTTATGAGCAGACCCCAACTTTGCCTTTATGTCCAGAGCTTTCTTACTGAAAGAAGCGAAGGTGTGCTGTTCGACATAGGCCTCGTCAACCAGCTTGGTCCTTACTTCTGCAGGTAGGCACCTTAGGTAATCCGTTAGGAGAACCTGCTGGTCAAAACGCACACCAGGTACCACGAGAAGGCGTTCTACGGTGTCTGTAAGCTCTCTAACATCCTTGAACCCGCGGGAACAAAGATTGTTGATAGCATCGGTGGCCTTTTGAGCCCCTTGCGGATCATGCCACCTGCTGTAGACAGACCATACGAACTGTTCCAATGTCTGGGCCTGAGCCCAGGCATCGAAATCCTGACTGTAGCCCTGTTGCTGCACTAAGCCATTCAACCAGCGGGCTACTGATCCCTCTAAAAAGGAGGCAGCCACTACAACTTCCTGCTCTGGCCTTGTGAGCTTGTGCCTCACATAAGTAGGCACAGTCCTCACCCAGGTGTCCAAATCTTCCTCCTCCTTTTTATCTCCAGAGAAAGGCTTGGGACTCATCAGAGGAATCTTGGGCATCCACTACATAGGCTGCATGGGCCCAAGGGCTTCCTGCAGCGGCTGCATAGCCACTGAAACAGGCTGTTGCACACTAACCTGGGCCTGCTTGACAGTGGGACTGTAGTTACCACTGTCGTGGATGGTACGACTGAGACTCTTTGAACCGGACCACCAGTTGCTGCTAAACCACCTGGAGGGGGCATGCCAAACATAGGAGGTGTTGTCCCTGTGTTTTGCGGCATCGATGAAGGACCCGCACCTACAGGGGGAACTACAACAAACTGTGGCTGCCTCACTGCTATGCGAGGAGCCCGAAGTTCAGCCAGGATTTGTTTCTAGCCTGCCACCAAATCGGGACGTTCTGCGCTTCAGCTACCGAAAGTAAAGCATTACGCAGCACACGACCAGCAGGGCCTAAAGCTGCCTCATCTAGTGCTTCCAGTCTGCCTAGCTCCTGCATTCTACTCCCTAGTCTAGCCTTCCTAAGTATGGCTTTTCTTCTCCTCTTTGCTGCCTCGTCCAACTGTCGTTGTAGCTCATCCTGAAGTTCTTCTGCTTGCCGAATTTCTAAGTCCTCCGGCGTGAGTTGAATTTGTTGGCTGACTCGCAAGCTAGCAATCTGACTAGTGGAAACCTGAGAGCCACTCTGACTGACTCCTGACGAAGTGGACTGTGTAGAGACTTGCGATATAGCTGAGGTAGCCAGGGTTGTACCGGTACTAGCTGAGACTCTAGTCTTGGCACTATCCTCAGTTGCCCTCACTCTCCTTGCCGCTGTTCTCTCTCTAGCCTCTCTTCGCAATCTTCTCTCGTCTCCTGGACCTAACTCCAAGAATGTTAAGGGTCGACTACGAGCAGTCCTGCGAGTTGTCCTACGGTCATCCGTCGTCCACTAGCAACTCCTCCTCACTAGTGCTTGCATCACTCGTGAGCTACAGTGTGTGTGATCTAAACTAGAATCCACTCTGAATCCTACCTAGCCTAACACATTATGAATTACAACTAATTTCGGTCCGCTGTAACAGAAACAGTTAGGTGATATATTAACAACTAATGTCAGGTCCTACATGATATATTAATTCTATTTTTAGATTACCCTGGAGCAGATTGCACTACAACAAAGATCTAATCTATCTGTAGCTGTCTGTCAGTTGTTAGTCAAGTGGATAACAACTAGATAATCAAAATAAAAATAACATCTCGTGTTGGAGATGTATACTGGATGGCAGATTGATAGTTGATTGCCACTATGAACAGTTACCGGAATTTGCCCCTCCCCCTGTATCCTTCTTGATTGGTCACTTTGTGTCAACGTTCCTGAGCATCTAGTTGAGCAGCGTGTCCGAAGGTGTGCAATCCGACCCACCCCTGTGCCCCAAGTCATTGCCGAACATGCCAGCCAGTCCACTCTTATTTACCCTCGTACGGAATGAGCCTTACACCCGGTTGATCTGGCTCGTCAGGAGGGATTTAAGGAGAGCCCCCATCTCCTCAGGAATTATTTAACGTCGCAGACAAGACGACGATCACCGCCAAATTCAAATCCAAGTCCCCCAACCAGAAATATTTATAGACGGTCTGGTAAGCGTCTCATAAAAGGTTGGCATGCCCGGCACGACCTCTATTGCGCAAGCAGCAGAACCCAGGACTTGCTGCCCAAGCATGCGTGTACTAGTCCCAGCGGGTTGGCATGGTGACGGTGACCTGAGTGCTTCGTCCAGGGCCCTTCAGAGGCTTCGCCCGTCTCCCATCAGCTTGCTGCCCAGGAAGAATGTCGACTCTCAAGGTTGAGCGCTCGCGAGACCTCATACTCTCAAGACAGAACTCACTTCCTCACGGTAAGAAGAGATGAAGAGGGTAGATAAGGAAGAGAGCAACGCACCTCATAAATGCTGCCCCCAACCACATATTTCTCACCGGCAACCTGATGTGCAATTATGATGACCGGTCTTTGCCTCAGCACAACCAACAGCAGAATGTGGTTCCACCTCGGCTTAATATGCCACATCAGCGAGTTCTCATCGTCCAGCATACATCCCGTATGTCACCACATAGCTCCCTGGCGCGCCCACACAACCCTGGGCCGCCTAATGTTCAACGCCAATGCCGTATCACTGCCCCACACCTCATGCGAAGCACCAATAGCTATTGCAAAGAACCAATGAAGCGCATTATGAACCAACTCCGATACCAAATTGCAAGGAAAAAAAACAAGATTTAAGACTCGCACATGTACATAGGATATGGGGCCCTGCAATAAGCAAAGGGTCCTGTCCTTATCGAAAATCAAAGTATCGTACAAAGAGTCCAGGTATCCAACAGGGAATCATAGTATCTAACAAAGAATCAAGGTATCCAATTAAGAGTCAAAGTATCCGAAATCGACAGTCACTCCATACTCATGAGCATCACTCCGCTCTACATGACAAGGGAACCATAACCTTAAACAAAGGTATTATAAGAACACTCCACACCACACTAGCGAAAAAGAGAAAAATAGTCAAAATCATACACAGTGTTATCTTATGTACAGAGAAGTCAATAACGCGAAAGTAGACATCTCACTACTGGCTCAACTTGCTGATGTACATGGGTCTGATCCAATCCTCCATGTATCCCTCCATATGCAAGCAACCATTAGTCAGAGAGTCAGAGATGTCCTACATGTACTAGACTTCGACCTTTCCGAACCTTATTAAAGAATCCTACTCCTGATCACTTACGACCTCCTGCAGCTGCCTATACAACTGCACCCTCACCCCATCACGAGTCTTAGGAACCAGGATTCCATTTCTATCCCTCCACACTCCAGACGACTCTCTGATAGCCAAACCATTTGCCTCGTCTTTGAGACTCTTGGGGCAGTCGTCAGATCGATGCTTGCCCTTCTTGCAGCAAAAGCATTTGCCAGTCTTCTTCTGGGACATCTTGTCCCCTTCCCGCGAGGGTACTGATGACGGGACTTCAGTGGCCTTACTCATGACCTCCTGCTGTGGAGCCTCTGGGGAAGTGGGGCAGGCTGCTCTGTCGCCTGTTCGCAACACTTGCTCGCCAACACGTCCCTCTGGCCCCGAACCAATGGCCCAAGATCCCAATGCGTCCCACAGACCTGCAACCAAAGGCATATCCTCGGGTATAGTCGATTCCTGACATCCCTTCAAATCCCTCCTTGACTCAGCCTCAACCATGATATGACCCACGCTTTCTTGACCCTCCTGCTGTCCCATGGTCTCTCCCTGAGTTGTAGGTGGAACTACTTCCATTCGTATGGCCTCAGCTGGTGGCCTCTCTTCTGGCATCGCTGGCTCCTGTCCAAGTGTCAGACCAGCCGGCATCCTCCACTCAAACTCTCCAACCTCTGAGTCCTTCTCAGCTAGTGCCCCTTGCGGCTCCAACATCTCTTTGTCTATCAGGGGAATCTCCTCACCCTCCTGCTGGTCCGCCTTCTCTTCTTCCTTGTGGCATTTGAAGGCTTCCTCTGCAGGTCGTTCCCTGATCTCAAACCCTTGGACCTCTGTCCAATCCACTACTGCAGTTGGAGCCTGTCGTGCATACCTGGCTTCGAGGTCTTGTATCCTTTTCTCCCATTCTGCTTCCTTTGCTTGGAAGGAGACCTGTTGTGCCTGTATTTAGGCCCTCAGGACGTCATTGACCTTATTAAGGGTCTGGTTGACCTGCCTGACGGCCTCGTTTTCCGCCCAAATCTTCACCATATCCGCCTTCACTACCTCCATCTCCTTACCTGCCTTTCCAATTCCTTCTTCAGGTCTTCGACTTCTCTTTCCCAGTCCACTCTCTGGCCATACGCCTTTTGTGCCACTTTTGTCAGCCTTTCCCCAACCTTCTGATCTGAAGCTTTGGCTGCGGCAAAGCCTTCTCTCATCACGTCCCTCAGGTCAAGTAAGTCCGTAGAGACTAACTTGACCCCCATCTCCTGATGATGCTCTTTAGATCTCCCTGCAACCTCCATCAGCTTGTCAAAGCTGACCCAGACTTCTGAAAACAGGGGAAGATCTTCCTCCTGAGTGCACGCGCCCTTACCACTTTTGTCATCCACCTCCTCAGGCTCTTTTCCTTGTTGCATCCTCTCATGCAGCTCTGCAAGGTTCTTCATCTAGAGCTGAACCTTGATCTCCTGCTCCCTTGCCGCTCTCTCTTTCCTGTCCAGTTTTTTCTCCTTGGCAGCCTGATCCTCCTTGCGATCTTGCATTTGTGGCTCATGCGGCATGTCTGGCTCCTTGTCCGGCATAGGACAATCCACATCCCTCTGGGCATGTTGTGGAGGCACACCCGGACCACCTGACCCTCCTACTCTCTCGTGCCTGTGGGATCTGTGTTCCTTTCTCCTGTCCTCCCTCTGAGTCCCTGATGACATGCCCTGCTCAAAGGTCCTCCTCTCCTCTACTTCTGGCTCCCTCCTTCTCTTTTCCAGACTCCCTCTTTCACCTGCGTGACGTGCTGGAGTATAGTGGTTCCAGAGCAGCTTCTTGCAGTGACCCCAATTCATAGTCGGTGCTACAATAGATCTCACAAAAGATCTGATGTGTCGTCTCACATACAGGAGGAAGCTCCCCATCCTCTGCTCTCCTGGAATATTGAGATCATTTGCATACTGATCATAGGCCCATAGGAATTCCCCCAGATTAGTGGAGTCAAATCGGATGGGCTGTCCATCTCTCCCCACTGGCGACGGGTGCAAACCCTCCATCTTCCTCTCAAAGTCTTGCCAACTCAGTGACCCCTTGACAAGGTTGGCAATGGGGTCCATCCACTCGCCTGTGCCTCGCACCTCCCTCAACATCCTGGTGCCATCCCATCCAAACTCCCGAGCATGCCTTTCGAACTCAACCAGGAACAACTCAATGTTTCCTCCCTGGAAGACTGGAGGCCTGTTCTCTCTCCTGGTCCTCATCTGCGTCCTCTGTCTGGTCACCCCCAAATGGGTTTCCACTGGCTCTGCCCATCCCCTCCCTCTTGGCATGGCTGCCCCAAGCGGTGTCAAGCCTGCACAACAAGGAAGAGAAACAAGAGCACAACGGGTAAGCAGTTTTGGACAAGATACCACAGGAGACAGACATAGCCCTCCCATAACTATCCCCAGCTGTCTGCCTACATATATATGCATACATATTACATACACACAAGTCTATCCAAAAAAAAAACATAACCTATCACGCTATTCTACTGAGAACAATATCC